GGAGCCTGGGAAAAAGCTGAGTGTGGGGGTGAGGGGAAGTGGCCCTTCCCCTGCCCTGTGGCCTGCACTCCCTGCTACAGTCGCCCATGTGGGGCTGTCGGGAGCAGGCACAGGCAGCCCCAGGTGGGCTGTGAGAAGCTGCAGCACGGGGCGTCAGGCACGGTACAGGTGAGGGGCCGCTTTTCCTTCTCCGCATTCAGCTTTTCCCCAGGCTCCTCCCCTGCCCTTCCCACAGCCCCCTTTCCCCTTACCTGCAGTTTCAGCGTGGGGCAGCCATGTGGTGTCAGGCCAGAAGCCACTTCTGGGGCTTTTGGCTGGGGGGGTGGGGCCTGGCAGGCCCTGCTGTTGTGGGAGCCTGCTGGGCTTACACTGGGTCCTACTGCTCTTGGTTTCTGTCATTTTTGACAGGAGCCAAGGGCAGATAAATATTAATTTTCTAAATTTTTTAGGGGCCCCGCAGGCCAGATAGAATGGCCTCCCAGGCCGTATTTTGCCCATGCCTTTGTTGTGTGCCACGCTCTGGCACCTGTGCCGAGGGTTGCCTATCCCTGCATTACAACTTAAATGATAGTTAGGGGAAGGTGGCTGTATCAGTAGGGAGGCAGCTGCATGGACTAGATATTACCTGAGGGCCACCACAGTAAAAGCTTAGGAACCTTATTGAAAGGTTCTGCTGCAGAACCTCTTTAACTTCAGCTGCTTGCCTTTAATAACTTTATAGTTAGTGAAACTGATTTTTAGAGATTTTCACTGATTAGGCTGAGAAAACTGTCAAAGTTAACAGTGTGAATAGTGACACCTAATCTGTGTTATTATAATTGTCTCATTTTTAACAATCCAAGATCTTGTTACCAACAGTTTATTTGTAAAGTGCTTGTTGACTATGTTCCTTTAAACACCAACATCTGGGAAGGACAATGAAATTGTTCTTTTCTTGCTGATTACAAGCAAAGACAATACTCTAATGACGTCCAGTGAACATTAGGTGGTATTATGGATTTAGTAGCTGGCATATTAATGGGTACTCTTTTGCCAGAGGTATTATATTTTTGGCTGAGATGAAATTAAATCCTTGTCTTCTGTCAATCCCATGAGAAGTTTACAGGTAGTTAGCCTGGAATACAAGCAGATTCTAGCTCTAATACTTACTTTTTTCAAACCTAAATTCTGTCTCTTAAAGCTGCTTCAGCTGTATACTGTAATCTTAATTTCTTTTCTTAAACTGCTACACTCATCTGCTTTCCACCCTAGAGCTAGCTGCATTTTTTGTGTTAGATGATAAGTTTTAGCCTCTGTGTATATGAAAGAGAGAAAGTGATCAAATGAATGCTTTGAGTTGAAAGATGCTATGTAAAATAATTTACTGCTGAGAAGTCGTTATGCATTTCCCTCAGATACCTATTTGTGTTGTTTTGGAATCTTGTAAGAGGCCTCTGTATCCTGCAAGGATACAAGCCTCATAAAACCTTGGGATAATGAAGAAAGCACTGGGAGCCAGCAGAGCCAAATACAATGAAGAGACAGAACAGCTCATTTATTTATCTGACTTGGGGTTGCAGGCTGCCTGTGTTTCCATTTGTACTTTTCAGCATTATGTGCTACAAGCTGATCCTTTGTCAGCTCTTCCTTAATCCCACTGTATTTGCTGATTTCCCCAGCCTTACATTTTGATGGAAGCTAATCCCAGAATGTCTGCATAGCTGAGTGTGAATCTTTTATCCTTACATATGCATTTCTTCTTCAGCCTTCTCTCTTTTAATCGACCTGAGTATTCAGAGCAGCTCCCAGCCTTTTGTGGGTGTGGGGGGGAGGGGGGGAAGAAACAGCTAGTCTAGCATGTGAGAATCAAGTGCTGCCTTCTGTCTTTCACACCTCTAAGCCACTGAGTCATCTTTCATTCTCTATGCATATATATGCATAATACGCACATAATGCGGCTAAATTATTATTTTGGTTGAGATGCATGCCATCAGATGGTGTCCTTTTAATTCACACTTCTGTGCCTGTGTATAGCAGCAACCCCCAGGACATAACATCAAGCATCTGGTTTGAGCCTCTGTGGAAATTCCCAGGTCCATTGATGGCCAGCCTCTACACTAACCAGACAGAAGTTATAGATGAGCTAGGAGTGCTAACTTTTGGGGTTTTTTTCTTGCATCTGTTCAGTTTGCTTTACTCATTAAGCAACATTTCTTTCCAGTAGGAAAGAGACCAGAGACAACAGTGATAGGCCTAGTATAAGAAACTGAATAGAATAGAATTCTTACAAGGTCCTTCTTCAGTGGTTTTATTTCAAAGTGATTTCAGTAGAGTCTGCTTTGAGGAAGAATATTCCATTCTCCCTGTTTGGAGGTTAGGGGTTGCTGGTGCACAAATACAACCAGCCGGTAACATGGCTTGGTTATTTTTTTTATCTTTTTAAAAAAATTATGGGCATGCGTGCCTATGTGTGTATTCCAAGGTTTCAATAACTGTAGAGTACATGCAAGATCTTCCTTAGGTTCCCTCTTCAGCTCCCACAATCAGCCAGGGCCTCCTGATTGTGGAAGTGACTGAGTAAGCCACCTTGCTAGCAGAAGGTGTAGCCTTAACTAAATCTGCCTTGGGGTGGAAACAAACATCACCTTTGCTGTCATAACAATTTTACAGCAGCACAAAGCAGAAGCAGATAGATGTCCATACCCAATGTGGCTGTGGTAAAAGGTTGTAACAGTTTGTGCCACTTTATTGCAGCAGACATTCATTTGCTTTATGGCAGGAGAATGTTGGTAGTGAGAGCTGCCTGTACTCTCCAGCTGCCATAGGCAGGCGCTCTGAGAGCTTGAGGAGCCTGATCCTGTGCACCTTGAATTCCCTGGCAAAAGCAGGCCCCTCAAGCCGTGGGAGAACCTGCCTGGCATAGGTGATCCACTTCATTTGGTGATGTCTATTTCTACCCTTATGTTCCATAATGTTCAAGGTAATTGCAAGAACCTGGGAGAGCTGCTCCAGGGCCACATTTAAGGTGACTTTGTGGTTAGAGAAAACCAGATGCATCTTCTGAAGCTCACCTTTAGGCATAAAATCCAGTCATCTCTCCCAGGAAGTAGTAGTCCAGACTTTTCTGTGTCATGTTTCATTTCATCAGAGTCCCTTTTCCACCAAAGATAGTAACTGTTCCTGCTCAAAGAATGCTTAGGCTGCAAGCCTACACGGGAAACATTGCCCAAAGTGCTGTTAATGATGCTTTTTTACTCATGCTCTCTCCTTCTTGGAGATAGTTTAAAAACCCTGAAGCACAATCCAGCCCCACTGACTTGTTTGTTTAGAGCTAAATTTTGTATTGGGGGATTTTGTCCCAGTTTGCAGTCCATCTCCCCAGAGAGAGAATACTGCCCTCTGCTCTGAGCCTGTAGGCATTATGAAACTAAACTAGGAATGCAGGTCAATTAACCTTTATCTAAGCTTTCCAAGCTTTATTCAAGCTTTCTAGCATTTCTTTGGGGTATTTCTGGGGTAATCCACACTGGGGGGGAGTTTCCCAACATTTTGTGGGGGAAATAACATTTTTTTTAAATGATGATAAAGCCATGGAATGGGCTATAAAAGAGGAGAGTGGGTGCAGGGAAGGAGTGAGAGTCAGTATCACAGCAGAGGGATTTGTCAGAGGTGTCAGGAAGAGAGAACAGTGAAGGATATAAAAAGGCTAGAGTGGCGAAAAACAAGCTATTTGAAGTGTACAGAGACTGAACAGGAGCAAGCAGCAAAACCCAGAGGGACCCTGCTGAATCTGTGAAACCAAGATATGAGGAAAAGGTAATGGTCTGAAACATCTGAATATGATGAGTGGAGGGGAAGGGTGGAACAAGAGGAAAAGCAGTCTAAGATGCAATGGAATTATCCAAACTGCTGGGAAGAGAACAATTTCCCTGTGGTTAGTGCATTTGACACAATAATGAGGGGAAAAGATGTGATGTATTTTTTTTAAATTCTCTTTCCTTTAAGCATTCAGAAAATGTATTGTTCAGTGGCAAAACGGGGTTAGATTTTTCTTTTAACCTAGTATGGCTGATGTGAGAATATTTTCAGCTGCTAGTGATTGGAGCAGTTCAGTAATACCATTGTACAAGAAACTGGAGATGTATAAGAATGAAGTCATCCAGTCCATCCCCAAGAGCCAATTCAGGCTTCTTCGCTACCATAAATAATCTAATAACATAATAATCATTATAATAAAAACCATAATAATCTGTCTAGTCTGCTTTTAAGTGCCTTTGAAGGTAGAGTTTCTGCCACTGCCTTTGGGAGGCTAGTCATTCATTAGGCTGATTGGAGTGTTGCAGTTGCACCACACTTAGGGTCTGAATGGTGTTGCCTTGTTGGTTCATCTCTGACTTGAGGTGCAGAAGGGGTTGTTCTGTGAGACCCCCCCCCCCTTTCTCCCACATCATGTAGCCCTGGACTCACCCTCAGCTCCCTGCGCAGCATGTCATACTGCCGCACCCCATGGAGGCAGGAAGCAGCAGCCAGAGGAAGGAGGGGGAACTTGAAGACTCCAGATGCTATTACATTTGGAGAAATAGGAGAGCAATGTAGGAAACAGCAGCTGGGCAGGAGCTTGGACGCTGCATTTAAGTATTCACAGGATGCCTGCAGCCCATGGGCCACCAATTGGACAGTCTCATTTCAGGCCACTGTAACCACTCCAGCTACCTGAAAGAGAGTCGTCTTCAGTTTTTCTTTTTCTTTCCTTTCCTCCATGTATATTTCCCCTCTTCCATTCCTTCCTGTCATGCAAAGTTTAGATGTTCACCAAGTCCCTCATTTTGAAAAACATTGGTTTAGGCTGATTTGGTAACTTACTTAATTTAGGTGTGGTTTTTTGTTTTGTTTGCACAGACAGCTGGGTTGAAGGGGAATTGTGTCCATCTTAGAACAGACAGCATTGTGACAGAGCCACTGCTGATGTTTGGTGGGAGACAAATTGATGACAGTGCTGTTCCATGGCTTACTTCTTGCAGGTGTACCAGCACACGACCAGGAGAGACCGGAATGGACGTGACGAGCCGCTGCACACTCGGAGATCCCAATAAACTGCCTGAGGGGGTGCCACAACCTGCTCGCATGCCCTACATCTCAGACAAGCACCCTCGGCAAACCTTGGAGGTCATCAACCTTCTGCGGAAGCACCGGGAATTGTGTGACGTGGTATTGGTGGTTGGTGCTAAAAAGATCTATGCCCACAGGGTGATTTTGTCAGCCTGCAGCCCTTACTTCCGAGCCATGTTCACTGGGGAGCTGGCTGAGAGTCGGCAGACAGAAGTAGTGATTCGAGACATCGATGAAAGGGCCATGGAGCTGCTGATTGACTTTGCATACACTTCCCAGATCACAGTGGAGGAGGGCAATGTCCAGACCTTGTTGCCAGCCGCTTGCCTTCTTCAGCTGGCTGAGATCCAGGAGGCCTGCTGTGAGTTCTTAAAAAGACAGTTGGACCCTTCCAATTGCCTGGGCATCCGAGCATTTGCTGACACTCACTCCTGCCGTGAGCTGCTGAGGATTGCTGACAAGTTCACGCAACATAACTTTCAGGAGGTAAGCTGCTGTCTGTGTTGGTTGGGCTGAAACTCTTGTTACAAACATGGCTTGGGAGAGTTCTTGGCATTTCTTTGTTTAATGCTTTCTTACAAATCCTGCCCTTCCATCAGCAATTTGTCTTTATACCTAGTCAGTGGTAGCTGTAGCTGAGTACCAAGTAAAAGATAGTCTTAGAGCAGTAGAGCTATTTTACATCGATTATTGATCCAGACCAGTTATTTCCCATCATAATGATTTGAACATCACACATACTGTAGACTAGGGGTGGGCAGTTGTTTGGACTGGAAGGCCACTTAGGGAGTTTTGATGGTCTGTCACAAGCCAAGTCAGGGCCTTCCTCCCTCCCCAGCCCCCAACAGCTCACCAGAGTTCCCTAAGTGACTTTGCCCTAGGGGCTGGGCCCACACTGTCATTATCCAGAGATCCTGAGGTCTCTGTGAAGACCAGTGTGGGACCTGTGTGGGCAGGGTGTGCTTGGCCAGGTGGATGGGATGGGGCTGTGGGCAGGTAGAACGTGGTATCTGGGAGTGGAACAGGCAGGCAGGGCTGGGATCATGGAGTGGGATCATAGGGCAAGGGCAGGGTCCAGGGCAGAACCATGATCTACTCCTTGTACACTCCTGCCTGTTGCAGGGATGTACAGCCAGGTCCCAACCCCACACTGTCACCACCCTACAATCTCAGCCCTGGCCCTACCCATCCATCGCGCTTTTGGATGCCTCTCCTTGCTTGCCCGCCTGCAACCCCTTCCCATCCACCTGGCTGAGCATGCCCTGCCTATGTGGGTCCGAGGCTGGTTTCCATGGAGAACACTGCCCACCCACTCCATCGGGCGCCCCCCGTAGTAGGTGCAGAAGGGATGGGCTGGGGTGCCCAGGTAGCAGAACTGAGTCTGGCAGTGGCAGCAGCTGGAAGGAGCCACAGCTGCTGGGGCTGTCAGGAAGTAGTCTGGCCACCAACCCAGCCCTGCTGCGCACCCTGGGGGCAGTGGGACCAGCTGCATGCACCATGGCCTGGGCTGCCCCTGTGCCTGGACCAAGCAGGGCCAAGGGCCCCACTGTAGGCCAGATAAAATCCCTTAGGGGGCTAGATGCAGTCTGCAGGCCATATTTTGCCCACCCCTGTTCTAGACAGTGAACACTGAGGTGTGGCAGTTCATATGGCTTGCTTCTGGCCCTGTGGGCCTGATAGTTTGTGATATCCCATGCTCCTTTTGGAGTGTGCTGTACAACTGGGGTATAAAAAACTAAAAGCCCAAACATGGGATCATTCATTCAAAAAGTCATTCAATACAAAGTGGAATTAGGAGATTGGGGAGAAATGGAAAAGATGAGGAGAGAGATGCAGAAGTCTCAGTGGAGGCCTAAAGTCCCATCCTTCACCAGAACTAGGATTTCACACATGTTACTCAGTGACAGTTGTCTGAAAGCAATTCAAACATGTATTTCCAGATACAGTATTTCTAAACCCAAGTCATTATTTTTCCTTTCACACCTCTTCCTACCAGGCTTGAAAACCTTGCCAGATGCCACCTTAAAAAAGGACCAATACAAGAATGTGGAGTCCCAACAGTGGGTCCCTATTTCTGATGAGAAGTCAGCTATTTTTCCAACCACAGCTCCCAGCTTGCTAGAAAGGGACCTGGGTTTTCCACGAGGGTACTTTTTCTTAGCCCTGTTTGTCAGGAACATGCCATATATCTCAGCTTCTGGCTAGGAAGTATCACCTGAACATTACGACCAGTTCACCTCAGATGTCAGGAGAAAGGTCTTTCTTTTTCTTCCAGATCTTCTCTTCCAAATCTTGCATGTCTGTCTCTCTGCAGTCAGGAGACTGCAGATAAGTTGCAGAAATCACATTAATTCTCCCTGTTTGCTTGCTACCAGTTCTTGGGTCCCTTTCCACTGTGAGTAACTAATGTTTGTCCCTCCAATGTTGCTGATAAGTTTTCCAGTTGTTGCAGCAGGTAATTGACTTGATCAGTAGCAGCCCACATACTACAGTTTTTCAGGATAGCCCTTGTGGAAACTGACTGGAGTCTTCTTAATTTCGGTCTGCTACCAGTTAGTGCAGATAGATCTCCCTCTCCCCACAACTCCTGGCACTTTCAAAGGATCTGGTGATACCCCAGGATGTCCTTGCACTCTGGCTGAGAATATATAGACATATAGATAGGTATCTATATATATCATCATCTAACATAAAACTTTCCATCAAACACTTTAAACCACATTAAGAAACAGTGCACCCATTACAATAAAGGCCTCTGCACACCCACCTGCTACCCTTCCCTAACCCAATTGCAGTGTCTTAGTCAAAGCCCTAATTTGGGGTTTACATTCTCAGTTCACTCGTTGTCCTTGTCACTGTCAATGTCGCTGTCACTTCCGCTGATCCTGTTCCTGTCTTCCTTGCCATCTCTGGGTCCAACTGCATTGTTATCCTTCTTGTTCTCCCTGTCCTCTTCCCCTCCTGGGGGGTCTTTGAATGGCCTGTGCAAAGTGTCCCTTTTCCAGGTGGAGTTGGCTGCATCTTCTCTGTCCTCTTCCACCACTTTCTGGTAGTAGGACTGATGTTCGCTCAGAAACATTTTAATGCAGTCTGTTTCTTCGAGCTCCGTGTGTCTGTACATCAGAAAGTTCCTGCATTGCCACAGGGCACTCCTGATGCCAGACACAAACTAGTCAAAATGGGTTGTCGGGGACCCCTGCTGTGTCCATACAGTGCTGTCTCCCTTGTCATCAGTGTGAGGAGATAAGTGGATGAGCTAAGCAGATAAGCCAGACTCAGGCTTGTCTCTGCCTGAAGGACCCCTCACCCTTACTGTCAAGCCCCTGAGTAAGGAGGTAAGTGCTATAATTGGGTGCCATTCAGTTTGCAAAAATTATACTGCCTCAAGTCCAGTGAGGGGTGTCTTGAGTCCAAAAATGTTGAGAACCACTGAATTAGTAAAATTATGAACAGGAGCAGATGCACTTGGATTTGACTGCCAGATGCATGGAAAACAATGTTTCACAGCTTTAACTGAATACAGACTGCATCAATCTACAAGTAAAATACATCTGGCAGACTTTTCCCAGCTGCAAGGACTAGAAAACCAACTTTCCTTTTTCACATGAGAGCCTAAATTGTGTAGAACTTGAGGATTTGCCAAAGGCAAGTGAATTTGTCAAGCCCTGCCTTCTTGCTAGCCATTCTACACATGGTTTCACTCTCTGCCTGTTCTGCATTTCATTTCTTATGCTGCTTTTTCAGGGACAGCAGGGTGCCAAGTGAAATGGTAAACAGCTGATCATTTATTTTCTATGCTCGGTAGTTTTAATGGGTAGAGCTGTTTTTGTTTTTGTTTTCATTTTTACACAAATGGGACATACTGCACTCTAAAAAAGTTTTATTTAGATGCTTGTAATTTTGTATTGAACATTTAAAGCAGCAGTATGTGCAGCTGAAATCTGGGGCTGTTCTGAGCTCCCTTCTATGAGGACCTTTCTTCTCTTACTGTTGCAACAGCCAGCTCTCTGTCATCATTTCCCATCTGATCACATGCCTGGCAGAAGCTTTGGACTCAAAACAGCTCCCATTTTCAAATACTTATAAATTACTAAACTAAACTAAAACATGGCCTGTGGAAAATGGATGCCTAGATCACAGCGATGTTTATAGGAATGATTTTTATTAAAGAAACAAACTTGGAAGAAGGTTGATATTTTTAATGCCCTTATTTCCATAACCCTGTCATGGCCTTTAAAGTTCTCCCTCTCTTTATTCTTAGTGGTCTCTCTCTTCCCCCTCCACCACTTTTTTTCCTACAAAAGAACGTTAAGGCCCCATTTAATTGTAACCCTCATCCTTTCAGCTATCATATTTGTAGCAGAAGAATAAACTAGAATCCCTCGTGAAATCCAGTAGCCTGGCTTCTTACTCACCCAAAGAGGGGGCTGAGAAGTGATATGAAGCATCTCTTCCATATCAGAAACCAGATGTATGTGGCTGCACTAACCTGGCAGAATGAAATAGAAGATGGGAATCACCAGGATGGCAGTGTAAAGCGTTAACTGCAGGCCACACCAGGCATTTTGAACACCTTCTGACTGCTTCATGTCTTCTGCAGTAATAACCTGTAGTTCTGTTAATCTTTATGTATGTTGCTGTACTACATCATTAACTTCTTGGTGAAACATCTCTTGGGATTTTCCATTTTCCTCAGTTTAATCACCTGCCTAATTCCCCTAGTGAATCTTACACACAACATAAAATAGATCTGTTACTCCACTCTGAAGGTTTTCTTCTGTAATACTTTTTTCTGAGCTTGACATCTGTGCAATGAGGAAATACATGCCATGACAGACAACTCATGCCTGGTAGCAGTAGCCAAAGCTCTTGCCATATACTCTGTATTCAAACACTTATTTAGTGTCCAGTATATAAATATAATAGTCACAGTTAACACCGTAAGGTAAATTCTCCTGATTTCAATTACTGCTGAGAAGCTGTTGTGTTTCATACAAGGTCCTGCATAGGGCTGTAAGCTGCCAGCAAGCAGTCAAATGGCCTATTCATTTCAGTCAGGCAATTACCAGTCCTCCTGGATAATTGGGATAAAAGTGGTACTTACATTCTTTTAAATAACTAGTTGTTTAATTTGCTAACTTACAAGGTTATACTTAAGTAGCAGCTTGGTTTGCAGAAGCGCTAACACTATTCCTGGATCCTACTACCAATTATGAAATAAATTGAGGACTTTCAGGATATTGCTTCCTTAAAGCTTTCTGGAGACTTATGCTGTATTTGCAATAATTGGAGCCAGTTTTAGGCACAATCTACCATGTTTAGGTGTGAGAGGCATACTGTACACACTTGCTGACTTATGATCAGCTGAGTTTCTAACCCCTTGTCTCTAAATGGACTCTGAGGCTGCAGCAGTTCACAAGTAACTTAATCTCAGCCCCTCATCTGGTCATTGAAAATTCTGCATATCCTAGAAACCAGATCTGCTGCCTTTTGGTTTCCTTTTAGCAATAGTTGTTATTACCAGCATCTTGGATCTCTCCTAATATTCAAGCAGTCTTCTAAAATTGGTTCTTCAGGTAATTAAAAAGTCCATGTCCCTGATCCCTGTATAGAAATCACAGGAAGAATTTATTTATGTTAACCATCCTGAAGCCAGGATGCAGAGCTCTTGCAGATGTATTTCTAACTGGGGAGCCTAATATCAATTGCTTTCTGTGGCTGAGCTGCTCAGCTGTCATAGTAGGGTTCTAGGAAAGGTATGTGGCTTGTCATCACTACAGTTCTTGCTTTTATTACCATCTTGTACTCTTCCCATCCTGATATCTGTATGCCTAAGGGTGCATGCCCATCTCCAGAAATCTCCCATCTGCAGCATGCATTGCTTTCACTTGATCTAAGCATAGATTCTCTAGTGGTGGCTGAAACCTTCTGAGAAGTTTACTTGCTATCTTGGGTACAGAAGAAATTAACATGTTTGCAGATTGTCAGTGGCTTATATTTCAGGATTGATCAGTCCCTTGGGTTTTAGGAGGCTCCAATTCCCTCCTGAGTACATTTGCACTCAGGCACACCACGTTTTATATTTAGAGGGAGTGAAGCAGAGGTAGGATCAAATGAGCCCATCTCCCTGTCCCGAGACACTTTCCCTTCTGCTACAAATCAGCGTCAGGAAGACTTTTCCTTATTTTCTACAATGTCATTGGTAAATTATTTCTGAGACTGCTACTTTGGGTCCTATTTTGAATTTATTACAAATAAAACATCTTTATTCTGGTACTGCTTTCCTCCAAAATATTTACCAGCTGCAGAAAATGTTTCTTTTTAATCTTATATATTACACATCGCAAATGAAGAGGCTGGCTTTAAACAAGGGCTCTGCTTTTCCCGAAATTTTGAAATCCAATCAGTGCATTCTGTGGATTAACTCCTTAAAGGCATCCACAGAATTTGTACATTCCCCTTCATTTGCATCGCCATTTGAGGGTTGCCTGAGCTGTGCTGGTGGGGCCCAATTCTGAAGGTTGCAGAAAACCTTTCACCCTCATTGGAGTCAATGAAAGGGGTCAGCAGCTTGCTGGATCAGATCATCAGATCCTAAACTAGGGGGAAACGCTTCTCTTTATACCTTTGCAGTGAAGTGTAGAGGCCATCTGTAGTTTTGGTGCTCTGAAACACTGTCCTTACCTCTTTCCTTATTACTATCCCTTTGGACAGGTGATGGAGAGTGAGGAGTTCATGCTGCTACCAGCCAATCAGCTCATAGACATCATATCCAGTGATGAGTTGAATGTTCGCAGTGAGGAGCAGGTGTTCAATGCTGTGATGGCTTGGGTGAAATACAGTATTCAGGAGAGGCGACCTCAGCTTCCCCAGGTAACTCTGAGTACACTTGAATGTGTGGCTTCTTTATATGTAGTAGGAGACATTGGATTTTGTCAGTGTAACGGTGGAAATAATTCCCTGCAGAACTTCCAGGTGTGGTAAAACACTTGTGTTTTCTAACCAGCTGGACCATAAAACCTGTATCTAGATATTTCAATAAGAGACCACTTCATGCTTACAGATAAGCATTGCTATCCTGAATTATATCATTGGTCCATCTAGTCAGTGGTGTCTCCAACAGTGGCTTCAAAGGATTGTGCAAGAAGCCCCAAAATGGAATAAAGGAGTAACCTGCCCCTACAGGAAGTGTTGCATTAATCTCTCATATCTGAGAATTTTATAGTAAGGCCATTTGGAACATTGTGGATGAAATATACCCTTTTGTTGGAACTGAAACATTCTACAGATGTTTTGGTTTTGACAAAATTTTCAACTGAAAGTTTTAATTCTGATAATTCTGGGGTGCCCTCTTTACAAGCAGTTGCAAAATACTGACTAGCCTGTCCTTTTCAGTCTGGAAAAGGATGTTTTGGCATATTTCCATTTAGAAAAAATGTCCTAAAGTTCTCATGAGAATGAATTGTTTTCCTCCAGTCTGCTCTAGTTTTATCTTTTTTCAGCTTCATCCCCTAGGCAAGACCATATGTCTGCAAGCATTGTATTATTATGCCTATTTGTGCCTTTAAATTGCGAGCTGGTTGTGGCAGGGCCCCTATGTTTGATATGATTCACTTGCAATGCCATGTGCACTTGGAGAGTAGAATAGGTAATAAAACTTCCAGCCTGACTAATGCTTTATAACTGTGTTGATGTTTGCAATTTTCCAAGGATTTACAATCAGGATGGTGACTTTATTCATTTAAGAGCCCTATGGATCAACTTTTTAAAAAAAACGGATGTCCTGTTGGATGCCTGCTTTGGCTTATTACAGTTGCAGAGATGCTCTTCATAAATAAATCAGTTCATGTTACCAGTTTGCTCTTGGCATTTTTAACTTTTTGTTGGCTCACAAAGCATTTTGAAACAATGTAGCTAATGCTATTCTCCTTTTGACTGCTTGTCTTTATTAAGAAAAGTGGGCCACCAACAGAGGTATTCTGTTTTGTGTCATAGGTGCTGCAACATGTCCGTCTGCCCCTGCTCAGTCCCAAGTTCCTCGTGGGTACAGTTGGCTCAGATCCACTCATTAAAAGTGACGAAGAATGCAGGTAAATCTCCCTGGGGAAAGCAACACTGAAGAACTTGTTGTATGACTTTCATTGTACATCAGTGCTTTCTGTGTTCACTGTCTGAGAATATGGTGATTTGTCAGTGGATAAACTAGGGAAGTCTTTACCTGTTTCCTCTTCTGGGATTGTTTGGAGGAGATAAGGAAAAAAGCAAGTGGTGGAAGAACACGCTTTGAGAACCTTGTTCTTTGTCAGCATCTGACAAAAAAAGGATGTGGAAAAACTTGAGAGAATCCAGAGAAGAGCCACCCGTATGATCAGAGACTTGCAAGGCAAGCCATACAGGGAAAAGCTGAGGGGCTTGGGTCTCTTCAGCCTAAAAAAGAGAAGGCTGAGAGGGGACTTGGTAGCAGCTTACATCAGGGGATTATATCAAGGGTTTGGTGAACAACTGTTCACTAAGGCACCCTTGAGGAAAACCAGGAGTAATGGCCACAAACTCCTGGAAGAGCATTTCAGGCTTAACACTAGGAAAAATTCTTCACGGTTAAGAGTGTCCAGGCTGTGGAATAAACTTCCTTCACAGGTGATGCAGTCATCCACCCTGGAAATCTTCAAGAAGAGACTAGACAGTCACCTTGTTGGCGTCACCTGACCCCAGTTGTCTTTCCTGCCTAATGCAGGGGGGCTGGACCTGATGATCTTGTGAGATCCCATCCAACCCCTAACAATCTATGAATCTATGAAATTATCCTTCACAGGACAGAGTGTTTTTATATGACTTTGCATGTCAAGCCAGGTGCCTTAGTTATCAAGAATCTAACTGAATGATGCTCGAAGGAAGCCACACTGTAAAAATTACTTGAAGTAATTTTTCCTTCTTTAAAAATGCCATGACCTTAATGATCCCTGTTGGAATTTGAGGTTGGTGCTAATTTGGCGGGGGAACTGTGACTTCCTTCAGTGGTATAAAGCTCTTATTTTCTAGGCTTTCTTAGTTGCATGACATTAGACTGTAAAACTGTGATGTTTTTGAAAACAGAAAATCTGGTTTTGATGTACGATTAAGTTGTTCCCTTCCTGGATAGTACTTCAGTGTTGGAAATATTCCATGTAGGGAGGAAAACTTTTTTGCAGCAAATTATTTTTTTTTAAAAAAGGCTGTTTCACTATTGCTCAGAGCTTTGGAATGTTAGTTGTTTCAGGGTGACAGATCGTGGGCAGCGGATGCAAGTTGGCCAGAGTTGTATAATAAAATATTTATCAGGTGGATACCATATCAATCTGTTGGTCATGCTTCTGTGGGTGTGTGCAAACATTTGATCAGTATCAACTTTAATGATGCTTGAACGTCAGGTTTTACATAAATATTTTAATATTTTAACAGTTGAAGGGAAACATCAATCTAATATTACCTACTTATGGGCTTTTGATCAGGACCTTAGTTGTTGAAGTAATAGATCATGTAGGCTATACATAGTCATGGAAGTTCTTATTTTCTTTTGACCATAAGTGCGCAATATGTGATTGCAGCTGGTAGCTCTGAGTGGTGGCATGTTGTGAATAGTACATTTTCGTAGAAATGCCACTGTTGCACAGGCATTCAAAAAAACATTTCATGCAGGGACCTTGTGGATGAGGCCAAAAACTACCTACTGTTGCCCCAAGAGAGGCCACTAATGCAGGGACCAAGAACTCGGCCACGCAAACCCATCCGCTGTGGAGAAGTGCTCTTTGCAGGTATGTACTGTGGACTTGAAATCTCTGTACATTTCATATCAAGGTCATCTGCCCATGTAGCTCACCTCATCTTTCACACCTTCAGAAGCAATGTGGTCCGTTACCCATTCTACAGTCTAAATTAACCTGTATTTTCTTACTTGGTCTTTTTCTTTGCTATGAATGCCTAAACACTTGACTTCTGGTGGGACTGCCTTCCTAAATTCACATGGGCCTTTTTGCAAAATCACACCCTGTGTTCTAGTGACAGGCCTCAGAGTAAAGAGTTCCAGCTTTCTGACCAGAAAGTCTTATCAGAAGTGTTCGTGGGTAGATGATGTAGCTGGATTATTTATTGGATACATATACATGGTGGGTGTATTTGCATTTTCTTGACACTGTACATGTTGCATTGATTCCCACAGTGGGGGGTTGGTGCAGCGGGGATGCAATTTCCAGTGTGGAGCGCTATGATCCTCAAACCAATGAGTGGCGGATGGTGGCTTCCATGAGCAAAAGACGTTGTGGAGTTGGAGTCAGCGTTCTGGATGACCTTCTGTATGCTGTGGGAGGCCATGATGGTTCTTCTTACCTTAACAGTGTAGAAAGGTAGGCCCCTGCTAAGCCAATAAAAGACTTAAAACCTGGCATTACATCTGAAAAAATGTATCCATGGTACTATCTAACTCTGTTGCGGAAATGTTGAACATGAAATTGTATGTCTACTTTATTAAGCAATACAAAGGCAGGAAATATGACAATTGTTGCTCACCCTGTTGAGTGTTTCCATCCATGTACTTCTTGCTTAGATTCAGATGTACCATATTTCATATATATGTTTCTACCTTCATGATAATCCTGAAGTTTGGCTTCTGTTCTGAGCTAGCAGGAGTCATAGCCCTTCATATATATGGGTTTAAGAAAATGAAATATAAAAGGTGGGTCTGGCTGTAACTGATAGAGGACACAACTGTCTTCTGTAACATTCTTTATGCATACCTATCTACCAGCTTGTTGTGTTAGTGTTGCTCATGAGTGTGAGGTTATTAACATGTGTTTACTAGAAAGCATCTAGACATTTTTGTCCTGGGGTTACTGAATAGAGAATTAATAAACGTTTCAAATCCTCATAAGAGGGAGCCATGTTGTTTGAATTGGGTTTTTTCAAATGATAGTTGATTTAAATAAGATACAGTAGAACTCACTTTTAGTGGAATTGTAACTTTTTAAGAATTACTTTAATCTGGGCCCAGCACAGTGCATAGCAATTAAGAACTTTCATTTGACATGTTTATAAATAGTTCTACTCCTGCTTCAATACGAGCAAGTTGTTACCCCACTAATCCCATACCCCAGGGGGGGCTGAGATTTTCTATAGTTCACCAATTCAGGTCTACTCTGCTTGATACATTTTTCTAGATATGACCCGAAGACAAATCAGTGGAGCAGTGATGTGGCCCCCACCAGCACTTGCAGGACCAGCGTTGGTGTGGCAGTTCTTGGGGGCTATCTGTATGCTGTGGGTGGCCAG